ACAGACACACACACAACACCCTCACACCACAGACAGACCAACATACACACACAATACCCTTACACCACAGACAGACCAACACACACACATAATACCCTTACACCCAAGACAGACCAACAGACACATACAACACCCTTACAACCCAGACAGACCAATAGACACACACACAACACCCTTATACCCCAGACAGACTAACACACACACACAACACCCTTACACCCCAGATAGACCAACAGACACACACACAACACCCTTACACCACAGCCAGACCAACAGACACACAGACAATACCCTTATACCCCAGACAGACTAACACACACACACAAAATACTTCACCCAACAGAGGTGTAGTGCGAAATTTAGCAGAGCCAGTGTGTCTGGCATGAATTCCTGAGTGATGGCATCCAGACTTTGAAGCAGCCTTTTGTAAGCAGTCAATGATTGATTATTATCTGAAGTTCATGGAGTTGTTTTTCTGTTTTGTATGGCTGGGAATTTCTTGGGTAATGGCTCCTTCAGACAACTTCTAAATCAGACAAGGGGTTTTGGTATTCAGAAACTGACTTGCTAACAGTGCCTCTGTGTAACAATAGAGGCCTCTGCAAAGTGGTTTGGAGTTCAGTCCATCAGAGCTGACCCCCTGTGTGGGTCTGAGTTCCTATGAACACTGCTTGGGCAGACAAAACAGCCTAAGATGGGGGTCCCAGTCCAAGTGAGAAACAATGCAGGCTAGGGTAGAAGCTGGGGTTCCCAAACTCTCAGACAACCAGACGTCCTCTGGGAACCATGAGGAGTCAGGAACTGGGGCTGCAGGCGGGGGTGAGGGAGAGGGGGAGGATCTGGCTTAGCTCAGGGGTGAGTGTCCATCCAGAGTGCAGAGGGGCCTTCTGCAGGAGACTTAGGTGGCTCGACTCTGACAAAGGCTTCCCTCCATGGTGGTTTTTGATAAGATAGTCTCAACTTGTCCAAACTGTTTATTAGTAGTGGAAAATGGATGTCTATGACTTCCTCAGGGTGGACCAGAGATTCCTTCCTTTTGCAGGAAGGAATGTCCGGGAAGGGCAGCTTATTGGCTAAACCTTCAGGGCTGGCCCATCTAAACACCTCATTAGAATGGAGAACTCTGTGCGCTGTGCTACATGACTAGTGGTCACAGTCCTCATGTGGGGTGTTGTGGTCACGTGCTCCAGGACAGGAAGCGGGTCAGGAGTAGATGAACCGCCTACCGTTCTCAGTCGTGAGAATTTACCGGGGGTTTCTGAATCTGCTCAACCTTCCCAGTTTTTGTCTGGTAACGCAGTTCCACTTGCCCTACACCCCTGCTGCTAGCAAAAGCCGAGATACGTCCTCCAGTGCCTCTCTTTCTGATCATATTTTCAACCTTTCTGTGGCTTGGCTTCTCTTGATATTATTATTATTATTATTATTATTGGTTTTTCGAGACAGGGTTTCTCTGTGTAGCCCTGGCTGTCCTGGAACTCACTCTGTAGACCAGGCTGGCCTCGAACTCAGAAATCCGCCTGCCTCTGCCTCCCAAGTGCTGGGATTAAGGGTGTGCGCCACCACTGCCCGGCTCTTGCTAGTATTATTAAAGTAGAGAAACGTTTAATTTTGTTAGGTTCAACATACAAAGACCTCTCCTCTTGTGGGTATGCTGAGTTATGCCAGATGATCAGAAAGATTAAAAACACTGCTGTCACCATTTTACAAAACACATCAAAAGTGACAGTGATTATTTTGTGCTTAGTCTCTGAGCTGGGGTGTCTCCACTTTTCTTTTCTTCCTCTTACTAGAAAACAGCCCGAGGAAGCCAGAAGACAGCTAACCTGGATGGCTACCCTGGAGCTGGAGTTACAGGCGGCTGTACGGCACCTCGCCTGGGTGCTGGTAATCAACCCCGGTCATCTGGGAGAACAGCAAGCACTCTTAACGCTGAGCTGTTTCCCCTGCCCCCTTTATCTGTAGTTTTAAATTTGGAAACATCTCTAGATAAGCACAGAGTTGTACAAACCATAAACACGGGTTGAGAACGGCCTGCCGCCGTCCTCCCCTGTGGCACCCTGCCGTACCTCCAGGACCCGTTCTCCACTTCCAGCTCGAGGACTGTCTGTAGCCGCTGACAGTGGGAGGCCTCTAAGGTGATGGTCACTCTGCACTCCCCCAGAGGGAGAAGATGGCCACAGAAAGGCTCAATGTCGAAGGCGGATACCTGAGGTTGATGCAGAGGATACAGTGAGACGTGAGGCCACGGAACTGAGGTGCCTCGGGTTGCCGATGCCTGGCCAGGGTCACCCCCAAGCTGCCCCTGGAGCTCACAGGCATGGGGCCAAGGAGAAGGCAAGAAAGCGTGGGGCCACAGCTAGGTGGAAACATCAGGAAAAAGATAACAAAAACTGAATGTTCAGGCAAGGGGATAGGCAAGACAGAGGTTCCTGCTCCCTGGCACAGATTTAAGAGGTGGGAGCCAGAAGAGGAAGAGGAGGAGAGTGTGGGTTCCCTGGAGGAGGTGTGCTGGGCAGGCCCAGGTCAGCCTCGGACAGCTTCAGTTGAGGTTAGTCTTCAGGTCCTCAGGCGAGCCTTCTGGGGTGGGCAGAAGTTACAGATAGAGGAAGAAAGAATTTCCTCCTTGTAGCTGTCCTGATATTCTTTCCCTCACCCCCTTCCCCAGGATCGAGTCCCCTATCGGCAAAGCCACCCCTCCTCATACAAAAGGGAGAGAGCAGACAGATTACAAGAAATGCCATAGGCAGTACCCCACAGTGCCTGCTCCGGGAAGGGACCTCTATCCTAACCCCGATCCCTGATGAGATGGGCACCTGTAGGACTGAGAAGCCTTGGGTCCCAAGAGGGCCACATTGGTTAATGGAATGTTACTGGAAGGCCACACCAGAAAGGACATTCGCTCTCCCTTCAGTGAGATCAGAACAATGGGTGTGAGGGCCTGGAGGTGCCTCACAGCCAGTGTCGACCCCACCCTAACCTCATCGGAGAAGAACCATGAACTTCTGACCCCTCCATCTCAGAGTGCTATAAATGCCGTCTTGTGCCACCATGCTGTGTGTGTGTGTGTGTGTGTGTGTGTGTGTGTGTGTGTGTGTTTTGCTGGGGATTGAAAGCAATTAACAGCTCACATCTCCAAACTTGAGTTTTCTTTATAGAGCCCTCAGGTTTGAGCTGCCAGCCGCCACCTGGTGGCAGGTACTCAAACTGCAACCACATTTTCCTGGTTGAATTGCCTGTTTAATTCTAGACTCTGGCTGCTTCTAAGAAGGAGAACCCCCATACCACCCTCTTCTGAAACCAGTGTTTGAAAGGGAAGGACAGGAAACACCTGCGGAATTGGGGCTGGGGGATGAATTCCACCCTGGAGACTGCTATCTCAGAGCAAGGATCCCGGTTCAGACAAGAACCAAAGGTGAGTGTCCCGTGGGGAGGCCGCATCTCGGGAGCCTGCAGGCTCCCACTTACGTCCTCATGCCTCTCTGCCAGGCAGACTGGGCTCTCCTTCAGATGCCACACAGCGGAGAGCTGGCTGACATTCCGGATCTGGATGGAGATGGAAGCCTTCTTTCCCAGGCGAAGCAGACCGAATTGAAGGGCTGGGACATCGATGACCACAGCAGGTCCCTGGAGCACCAGAGGGGCGTGTCACTGCCTGCCTGGGATGAGGCTGGGTCTTGGTTCACCCCTCTCTCCCAGCTTCTCTGGGCATTCCCAGCTGCCCAGTTCCCACCCACCCACGGCACCTTAAAGGAGGCCTCGATGTGAAGAACCACTGGGAACGGTGAGTCTTTGATTTTACACTCCAGGTCCTGGCTGGTTGGGCCAGGTACCCCACCAGTTAGGTTTAACTCAAAATCTCCGACCTCGTTGGGCTCTGGGGGGAAAGAAGACAAGGAGGTGGAGATCAGCGGGGTGGGGTGGGGACGATTTCCTACCAGGCCAAGGCTTGATTTGACCACAGGACATCCAGGGTCTTGCTCAGGTATCCCTGCATCCACACCCTCCAACAGGAGAACTACCTATCAGCCCAGTGCAGGGCTCCACTTCGATGATGTGGCAGTGGCTGATCTTCCCCCACATGTATCTGATGGGTGACTTGCTGTTGTTCCACATCTGAAAGACACAGGCCGGTCTAGGCTGCCTGGGAACTGCCCTTCCATATCAAATCAGAACCTGCTGAAGGGCCGTGGGACCATGGGGTCCCAAGGGATCATACAGTGCTCTGCTGGCTGGTGACCGTCTGAAGCCCCAGGCCTCCCCTTCCAAGAGGCACCTTTCCTTCATGATGTAGGGATACAGTACCACGTCCTGCTGAAGACCCAGGAAAGAGTTCCACAGCCCTGACTTCAGAAGATTCTGGTACACTGATAAAATAAGTCAGAGGACCCTGGCCCAGGCATGTGCACCACCATAGGCGGGGGGAGGGGGGGTTCCCATGAACAGGATCAGGCTCTGTGTTGTGACCTATTGGACTCTATCTACACCACACCTACACCTAAGTACAGCATCACTTGGACCAGGTGAAGCTGGCGAGAGGATGCCTTACCTTAAAATCTTTCTTCACGGTGATGCCGATGTAGCTCTCGCCAGGGATGATGAGGGCATAGGGCTCTAAAAGAACCTGGAAAGGTTCTGCCAAGCCTTTCGCCTCGATTTCCAGGACGATCACATCATCCACCGAGTAGGAGTAGTCCCCCAGGTTCTCCGTCCCTGAGCTGAACAGAACCCACTGTGAGCTGGAAGTGAGTGTGCCTCGGCCTTTACCCCACTTGTTTGGTCTTGTGGACAAAAAAGTGCTCCGTTACCCCCAACCCCCAAGCACACAGTCATGTGACAAAGCCCACACCACAACAGTGCAAAGTAAGAACAGATCAGCTGAGAGCCTGAGGCACAGACCTGCTGCCTCCAGGGACACAGTGTATCCCCCAGACTGGGCCCTGTGCTCACTGGGGACCTGCCTCTAGCCAATGCACCCCAAAGCACCCAGGAGTGACCAGACAGGCTGCCCAGGGTGGCAGCGAGTCTCCCTCACCTAGGCTCGCTCCCTGCTCACCTCAAGGGCTCGGGGACAGCTTCTAGGACCATTTGTAGTACACTGTGGAAACATTTGAGCTGCAAGAGAAACTCAGTATGATAACCAGACTTGCCTTCCAGCCAGCCTGCCTGCCTGCAGTGACCTAGGGGACAGGGCAGGGATTCCTCTTTCCTGAGCCAGGGTGACAGAGGACTTTGAAAGATCGGCTACCCAGGGTCCTTTCTCCACCTTAAGGAGAATGAGATCCCTGCCAGGGCAGCAAAGAAAGCCCCAGCCCCCAAGTCGTATATTGGCTTTGATTAGCATCCTTGGTGTGTTATGTACCATCCCTTCCTATGGACGGCAAGCAGTTGCATGCTGGCTCCAGAGGTAGCCATTCCCAACTCAGGTTCAGACCATCTAAAACCAGAGCCCTGGCCCAGTCCTGTGGCACGCTGACACTGGGACAGGAACTCATGCCTTGCTCTGTAGGGGCTGCAGGGGATGGTGGCGATGGTTACGTGCTTTGATGTAGCTTAACTGTAAAAGTCATTAGGGCTGAGGGACAAGCTTGGGGCTGTCCTTCAGGAGGGACATGTGGTCAGAACTAGGAAATAACCTGTGGAGTCCTACACACCAGACCTGCATTCCAGCCCACATGCTTTGTCAGGCCCAGCTATAGTTTCAGGCTCTTTCAAGAACACAGATGGAGTTTGGGGGAGGACACACACACACACACACACACGGGGAGACACACACACACACACACACGGACACACAAAAAGCTCATGACCCCTGTCACTGGCTAATGAAATGACCTCATAAGGAGAAAAACTCAGGATGAACTCATGGTCTGAGTGGGCCTGGAGGATGCCCTTCTCGGGAACGATGGAGAAGGCTGTCTCCCTGTCAGGGTGGCACTTGATGCTGTCTGAGCTGTGCATCTCTCCAGGCATCAGAGGCTGAAGGTTGGGCTTCATGATCTGCCAGTGGAAGGCCAGCTCCACGTGTCTGTGGGGGCAACCGTGGGGGCAACCGTTCAGTGGACAGTGGCTCCGAGACCGTGTCTCCCCCTCAAGGCCCTCCCACTGGCTGGATGATCAATCTGCTCTATTCTGGATGAGAAGTGACCAGATCAGGCTTCAAGCTTTCCCCACAGAGGAGCTGAGGGAACTTAGGTAAAGACAGCAAGGGAGTCCAAAGTGGAGACCCCTACCGCCACCACAGCAGCTGGAGACTGAAACCACAATGAGTCAGGGGACATGGGCAATGCAAGATGTCACACTCTAATTATTACACGAGAGGAGTTCAGGCATCCCTGGCTGTCAGAGTTATTCTCTAAAGCGTTCCCCACCACCTGAGCCTTTCGGGTTTCCTGTACCCACCATACTCTCACTTTCTGCCTCTAGCCATGGCCTGCTGGGATGATAGGTGTATTCAGAGAGACCTACTAGTTACAAATAGGGACAGTGCCAGGTCTCTAACATCAGAAGGGGCAGGACTCAAGGCGTGCTGCTGGGGTGGTGGGGTGGGGGTGGGATACCAGATCAGTTCCTCCTGTCATGCCAAGAGACTGACTCCTGTGTGCCAGGGCAGCTCGGGCTGGAGGCTCACTAAGCTCGGGCTGATGAATGTGATGTTTGAAGGCTGGCCTAAAGACGTCCTGGCAGTGAGGGCTGAGCCTAAACCTAGCCTGGGGACCTGGAAGGAGTCTATGCTATGGACTTAGAATGGGGTCTCCGGAAGATCATCCTTAGATCCCTGCTGAGCAACACGGATGGGAAAAGGACGATCCAGCAGTATGACTGGAGAAATGGTGCAATGGAGGGAGTCAGTACAGGAGGAGGAGAGGGATGCAGGACAAACACACCGATGCTGCTTAAGAAAGCCTTGGGAATCATATTTACGTACGAGTACATATGATGCATCATATATGTGTGTTAACATGTACACACACACAGACACAGACACAGACAGGCAACACATACATACACAGACACACACACACA